TGGCAAAAGCCACCACCTTCTCCTCCCCGCCCTCCTGCTGGCTGAGAATGGCTCCCATGCCCGTACTACTCCAGTCCGTATACAGCACGAATGGTACGTCCGCCCTTGGCAGCTGCAGCACCGCGCCATTCTCGACAGCTCCCATCAGGTCCTTCAGCGCCTCCTTCTGCTGCTCATCCCATTGCCACTTCGTATCGTCCTTGAGTAGCTTGTTCAAAGGTGCCGCCCTCCTGCTGAAGTTCTCCACAAACTTGCGATAGTAGCTTAGGAACCCCAGCAGGGCCCTTAGCGAGCTCTTATCCTTAGGCTGCGTCACCTGGTCTAGGATAGCCACCTTTGCTTGCTGTATCGCCAGTCTGCCCCCTGTTACTTCAAATCCCAAGTAGGTCACTGTCGTGTGTCCGAAGCGGCACTTCTTTGGGTGGCAGGTGAGTCCCGCCTCCTTGATCCTCCGCAGTGCCTCAGCCAGTCGCTGCACATGTTCTTCTGGGGTAGCGCTGAACACTATGACATCGTCAATGTAACACAGGGCCCCAGTCATTCCCCGTAGGACCGCATCCATCACTTTCTGAAACAGCAGTGAGGCTTTCTTCAGCCCGAAGGGCATCATGTTCCACTCGTACGCCCCGTCAGGGCCGTGGAAGGCAGTCTTGGCTTTGTCGGTCTCCGCGATAGGGATCTGATTGAACCCTTGCCTCATGTCCAGCGTCGAGAACAGCCATGCCTCCGCCAGTTGGTCGAACAGCTCATCCACCATGGGTGTCGAATATCTCTCTGGGACTGTCACCTTGTTTAGGTCTCGATAGTCACCGCACATCCGGCGGGCTAACACTGTCCCCGTGAGATCCATCCTTGCCGCTACCACCGTTGCTGCTGCATACTTCGACTCGGAGCGACGTATGAGCCCTGCCTCCAGCAATTCCAGGCACTTTTCCTTGCATATTTCCAAGTCCTGCGGGCTCATCCGGCGCCTCCTCTGGTAGACTGGCACCGTCGTGGTTAGCTCGAGTGTCATAACTGCACAGTTGCAGCATCCCAATTCCTTGAGCGAATAGGCGAACGTCTCTCGATGTGACGCCAGTAGCTCTTCCACTGCTTGCCGGTGCTCCCCTTGCAACCCGGGACCTAAGTCCCAGGTGCTCTGGTCTCCTTCCATTCTCACTGCCTCTTCCGCCACTCTTTCGGAGGTCCCTTCTCCTTCCGGGGTCTGCGGCACTTCTTCAATTGTTGCTGCTTCACGCGCCATGTAGGCTCGCCCCACAGGTGGCCAGTCCGGTGGGTCGTAGTAGTCGTAGAATTCGTCTCCCATATCGAAGTCTGAGTCATGGAATTCCTCATGCGTATCCCCTCTTCCCAACCCGGATTCTTCTTCCATTTCTTCATCCGCCTCAACCTCCTCCTCCTCCTCGCTCTCTTGAGGGTCGGCATACCTTCCTGGTATGGCTTCCCGGTCATCTCTCCAGCTGGCCCTCCTGTGCTCCTCCGGGACCCCCCTCCACCATTGGTTTTCTTCCTTCTCTTCCAGTCCTTCCAGCATCGTCCATGCTTCCATCTCCTTGTTTGCCGCCAGCAACGTCTGGGGCCTGATAGCAGTCGCCTTGCCGATACGCCTCTCCAGCCACTTCCTTTCGAGATGGTTGGCCATGGTCATGAACAACCATTGCAGCGCGTTCAAATCCATGACCCGGCCCAGAGCCTCCTTCCTCTCCTTCTCGGTCATTTGTTCACAAGCTGTTGCGCCTGCCAGAAATCCCATGGCCAGCTCCCTCTCCTGAGCCGTAGGCTCTTCCCATACTCCACGTGCCTGATCGTATACCATGCCTGGATCTTCTTCCTTTCGGAAGCCCCTCGCGTTCTCGTACGACACCACCGTCGGCCATGCCTCTCTTGGTTCCCCCACTTTGTTACAGGGGTATAGCGTGGGGTGATCTGCTTCCTTCACCGGCGCAGACATCCTGCCTGGTTCCAGTATGTCATCCACTCACCGCGCCCTTGGCCGCTCCATCCGTGATAACTGGTACCTCACAGCCGCTTCTGGCACTACGTTTTGCCAGTACCTCCTTGGCCGATGTGATCTGCTCCCGTTTTGCGCCGCATCCCAAGCCACCCCTGCCCCCAGCTCCTCTGTAATTTCGGCGTTGGCTGCTCGTATTGCCGGGCGAGGGTCGTCGGCTAGGTCCACGTTCTCAATGATGTAGGCCGCCTCCCCTTGCCGCTTCTTGATCATTTTTAGCACCCGCACCAGATCTCTGAACTGCGTGCTCCTCTCATCTCCCATGCCTCTACCCTTTCCTGCACGCGATAGCCCCTGGCAACTCCATCCCGCGATTACCAGATCGATCCGTCCCCACTGCGCCAGCATACTATCGTCGATCTCCTCCGCCCCGCGGCACAACCATTCAGCCCCCCCGTTCCGCCGCATCTTCCATCAGCTGTTCAGGATATCTAGCCTTCAGCAGCTTCACGTGGTGCCAGGCCATCAGGTTTGCGTTGCCGTCGTTGTCGACGTATAGGTACTTGGCCACCGTGTGGCCTGACTTCAGCACCGCCGCTAGCCCTGTGGCTATTCCCCCGTACAGTTCTAGGATCACCAGCGGCTTCTGCAGCGCTCTCAGGTTTAGCACCGGCTCTCGGAGATTATCGCTGGCCCCCCAGATCTCCTCATACTGCTTCCTGGCTGCCTCCATTTGTCCCATCTCCTTCCATGTCTGGATGCTCAGCTCCTCTTCCAGCGGCTTCTCTGTGGCCTGGTAGGCCTCTCTCGGTTCCCTCCTGATGAATTGCACCGGTAGCTCCGCCAGCTCACCATCGTTCTCCCAGTATGTAACACGGTACTTCAGCCGTTCTTCCCACATGCAGATGGTAGTACCAATGGTGAATAAGTACTCCACCCCCAACAGCAAATCATAATCTTCCGATGTCGAGATCCCACAGTGCATCCGCACGATACACTCGTCCTGGTGCCCCGGCCATATCACAATCTCCACCGTACTCCGTGTTTTCGGCATCCACTTAGCTGTACCTCCCTCAGCTGTCATCAGCAGGTAGCCCTCCGATATGACTCGGTCCTCTCGATTCAACCCCAGCAGCCTTGCCATGGGCGCCCCGATCAGCACGTTGTGAGCTCCAGTGTCCACAATCGCCTGCTTGATTTTGACGCCTCCAATGCTCATCACTCCTGGTTCCACCACTAGCACAGATGGCTGACATGCCATCCTCTCCAGAGGATGACGCCGCGCAGCCCCGGCAGTCCTTTCCTCGTTGGTGCCTCTTCTTGGTCCTCGCTCCAGTACTGGGGTTTCTTGTGGGAAATATCAATGACGTGCTCGTAGTCCCCTTTCATCCCTCTCTCTCACTAGTCGGGCCATCAGTGTGAAACTGGCCTCGCTTCCCTCGTCTTCCTCCTCGTCGGTTCGCGCTAGCATAGCATTTCCCTTCGGCTCTGACCCGGACATCTCTTCCAGCTGCCTTTGTAGTCGGGCAATCTGAGCTTTGACCTCTTCGGGATCTCTCCGCGACCTCCCTTCCCTTGGGGTTGCATAGCAGTCCTTCCCTTGGTGCCCCTTTCTACCGCAACGGTCACAGGTAGGCGCCTCAGGGCAGTCCCTCCTCAGATGCTCCTCGCTCCCACAGGTGGAGCACGCCGGGGGGTTACGACATTCCCGCCGCAGGTGGCCCAGCTGGCCGCAGTTATGGCAGCGTCGCTCTTCTCCCGGTCCACGTGGTGGCTTCTCCCGTTCCGCTGATGTGGCTGCCCAGGCTGGCCTCCTTCTCTCACTCCCCCTTTCAGCCGTTGTTTCAATCTCGCATAGCCTTCGTCCCACCTCCACCCGTTTCACCACTTCATACACCTCTTTTAGCGTAGCTTGCGCTCCCATTTCGAAGACCCGAACCGCTACATCTCGTCGCAGCTCATAGTGCAATCCGTTTAGGAACTTGCTGACCAACCGACTCGAGTCGTGGCAGCTCATGTCTTCCGCTAGCTCCACCAGCCGACCGTAGTAGGCCAATAGCGATTCTCCTGTGCGACGACGGAATTCTCTGAATTCCGCCACCCTTTCTGGCGTCTGCGTCGGGAATTGATCTTCCAGCATCGCCAAAAAACGAGTGGTCGGATCTCTCTCTCCTGGTGCTGCCCGCGCGGTCCATTCCAGCAGTTCCCTCCGACTGAGCCGATAGAAGGTCTCCGCCTCGCCTGTAAGAGTGTTCGCGAGACCTCTGAAGAATTCCTCCGGGTCCAGCCGATCTCTTTCCCATCGAGCTCTCAGGTTATCCAACTGCATCACGTAGTTCTTAATCGTCGGACCTCGCCGCATATCACCAGAGAAGCGTTCTGGGACTTCGATCTTCGGCAGGAGTGTGTACTTCCACCGCTGCGCAGAGGCATCTTCTTGCCATGACGCGCTCCGCTGGTAAGAGCCAGCCGGTCGTCCTTCCTCTGCATCTCGCATCGGTCGTCCTTCCGATCGCGCATCCTTCTTCACTGCTTCCGCGGATCCCCGCTCTCCACCTTCAGGCCGATCCACTCCTTCCGCTTCCCGCCTTGGCGAGCCATCGTCTCGAGCTTCGTTAGCCCCCGTGTCGGTGCCCTCGTTCATCGTGCCCGACTGTTCCTTCAGCGTAGCCTTCGCGCTCTCGCTTTCCATTTCTTCGCCGTATTCCGTCACGCCCCTTGTGCGCATACTATCGCCACCGATGATTGTTTGTATGTGATAAGCTAACCGTGCTTACTCACATCTACTCAAGAAACCTACTTACATCTTCATCAGCAATCACCTACGTTTGTTATGGTCTGTCAAGTCCTTCACGCGATTCTTGCTGCAATCACATGAGTAAAACAGAACATACAAACAATGCAGAGAACTATGACGTACCCCCTATATCCTAGCCTGCGTCCTCCCCCCCCCTTTCCCTTTACTGCTATTCCAAAGAAACCCTTCGAAGGGATGACTTTCGCCGTAGTGAAAGAACAATCCCCCCCCTCCTCTCTCCACCACCACTTATCCGCCCACTGCTTGACCTCCAGCTCGTGCCTGTAAATCCAGCTGGCTCGGGCATTCGTCCTGCAGGAAAGCAAACATGCATACAACACACGAAACAAAAGAGCTCCCTCCAGCTGTCCCCGCACCATCTCCCCATGCGTCTATTGGCTGACTCGGTAGCCCAATATCGCCCATCCATCACACCAGCCTCGGTCCCAGTCCCCGATACCTCTTCACTCGACAACCTATACAAATATACAGTATATACACATTCTCCGTACTCGTAACCTTATCTGCCTCCTGATATTGCGACAGGGACATGAAAGCATGAGTGGGTGAGAGAATGGGAGCGTGAGTGGGTGAGAGAATGGGAGCATGCATGCAAACACCACTTGCAGGGTGGCATGGAAGGCGAAATGGCAGGTGATAAAAGGGTGAAGAGGAAGGATAAGAGGTGGGATACAGAAGGTGTCGGCCCGAGGGGGGTAGAGGGCAAGGAAAAAGGGGAAACAGAGGGTGTGGCGCAGGAATGTGCAGGGATGGGAAGAGAGGAGAGAGGCGGAAAAGCGGAGGGGGGGGGGGAGTGGGGCGGGAGGAGTGAGCCAGAGAGGATTTTGATGAGGGAGGCAGAAAGGGAAACGACGAACGTGCATAGGGAGAAGGGAAAACTGAGGTGGAGAAGGGCGGGGAGAGATGGAAGGAGAGAGGCAGGGAGGAAAGCGCGGGTTGAAAGTCAGAGGGAAATTATAGGCAGGGAGGAAAGGAAGGAGAGAGGTGGAAGGGAAGTGTGGTGAAAATACAGAGGGGCTGAGGGAGGGGGGGAAGGAAGGAAGGAAAGAGGCGTGGATGGAAAGGTGGTGATAGGGCAGAGGAGGAGATAGGCGGGGAGTGAAGGAAGGAGAGGGTTGGAATAGGAAGGGTGTGTTCATGGTAGAGTGAGAGATAGGCTGGGTAGGAATGAAGGAGAGGGTTGGAATAGGAAGGGTGTGTTCATGGCAGAGTGAGAGATAGGCTGGGTAGGAAGGAAGGAGAGGGTTGGAATAGGAAGGGTGTGTTCATGGCGGAGTGAGAGATAGGCTAGGTAGGAAGGAAGGAGAGGGTTGGAATAGGAAGGGTGTGTTCATGGCAGAGTGAGAGATAGGCTAGGTAGGAAGGAAGGAGAGGGTTGGAATAGGAAGGGTGTGTTCATGGCAGAGTGAGAGATAGGCTGGGTAGGAAGGAAGGAGAGGGTTGGAATAGGAAGGGTGTGTTCATGGCAGAGTGAGAGATAGGCTGGGTAGGAAGGAAGGAGAGACACGGGGAGGGAGGTGCTTTGAAAGGGCAGGGAAGGACATAGGCGGGGAGGGAAGGAAAGAGAGAGGACTGGGGGGAAGGGCAAGTTCAAGGGCAGAGGGGGAGATAGGCGGGGAGAGATGGCAAGGGGATTTGACGGAGGCAAGGGTGACGGACGGAAAGGCATGGGGGAAACAGTGAGAAAGGCAATGGGTTAATTGGGGGAAAATGGGCAAGGGGGAACGAAGGAAAGGACAATGAGGAAAGGGAGGGAAGGACAAGAAGGAACGGGAGGGAAGGACAAGGAAGGAAACGGAGGGAAATGGGCAAGGGGGGAACGGAACGAAGCACATGTGGGGATCAGGGGGAAGGGCATGGGAATACTGAAACGATGGCAATGGGGAGCAGTGGGAAATGCGGGGGAAAATGGAGGAAAGGACAAGTGGTAAATGGGGGAAAGGGTAAAGGGAAAACGGGGGGACGGACAAGTGGGGAATGGAGGAAGGGCAAGCCGGGGGGTGGGAGAGGAGGAAAAAGAATGGACGGGAGTATGAAAGAGGGGACAGGAGGGGGCTCACGGGAGTGTCAGGAGAGCGGGGAGACAGGGATGGGAGACTGGAAAAGAAGAGGGATGGGAGGGATGGGAGGGATGGAACGGAGGGAGGAAAATTGGAAAAGGGGGAGGAGTTTATAGGGAAAGGGGAATAAACATTCGTGATTTGAGAGCAGCGCGTTGGGAATGGGGAAAGCTTTGCGTAGGATTGTGATGTCATGTAGGATGGATGCAGAGAGGGTTGTGACGTCGTGCGGGGTGGATGCCGGGGGGGTTGTGACGTCGTGCGGGGTGGATGCCGGGGGGGTTGTGACGTCGTGCGGGGTGGATGCCGGGGGGGTTGTGACGTCGTGCGGGGTGGATGCCGGGGGGGTTGTGACGTCGTGCGGGGTGGATGCCGGGGGGGTTGTGACGTCGTGCGGGGTGGATGCCGGGGTGGTTGTGACGTCGTGCGGGGTGGATGCCGGGGGGGTTGTGACGTCGTGCGGGGTGGATGCCGGGGGGGTTGTGACGTCGTGCGGGGTGGATGCCGGGGGGGTTGTGACGTCGTGCGGGGTGGATGCCGGGGGGGTTGTGACGTCGTGCGGGGTGGATGCCGGGGGGGTTGTGACGTCGTGCGGGGTGGATGCAGAGAGCCCATGTCCCCTTGTCCACACGCAGAGGAGCCCATGTCCCCTTGTCCACACGCAGAGGAGCCCATGTCCCCTTGTCCACACGCAGAGGAGCCCATGTCCCCTTTTCCACACGCAGAGGAGCCCTCCTCTGCAGTGGGCGGGCGAGGGCCTTCAGAGGGGGGTAGATCACATATGCCTTCTGTGCGGAGAGCTATATGGAGAGGGGAGCGGGGAAGTGCAAGGGGAGGGGAAGAGAAGAAGGGGACGGGAAGGGGAGGGGAGGGGAGGGGAACGGGAGAGGAAGGGGAGGAGAAAGGGCGAGGAAGGGGAGGGGAAGAGGAGGGGAAGGGGAGGGGAAGGGGAGGGGAACGGGAGAGGAAGAGGAGAGGAAGGGGAGGGGAAGGGGAGAGGAAGGGGAGGGGAAGGGGAGAGGAAGGGGAGGGGAAGGGGAGAGGAAGGGGAAGGGAAGGGGAGAGGAAGGGGAAGCGGAGGGGGACGGGAAGAAAGTGGATAGGAAGGGGAGGAGAAGGGGAGGAGAAGGGGAGGGGAAGGGGAGGGGAAGGAGAGGGGAAGGTCTAATGAGGGGGGTTTTATGAAGGGTGGGCGGGCGCGGGCCCTCTGGGGGAAAGGAGCGGAGAAGGGAAAGGGAGGGGAGGAAGGGGGGAGGGGAAGGAGAGGAGGGTGGGAGGGGCCTCACGTTGCGGATGATAGCTTCCAAGTTGTCCTGATTGTTGGCGAATGTGACCATCATGGCGATGGGGACGCCCACGTAGCACTCGAACTTAAACACCTCCAGAACCCCCTTGCGCGGCCCTTTGAATGACATGCTGCTGCTTTCTTCTGGCAAATCCCACCGTCGCCCTCCGCGCGTCGTTCTTCCCCACAGGATTTCACCTTTTTCTGCCGGGGTTTTACTTCGCTGCCTCTCCGCTTTTTGAGTCTACTCGAAAATCGACCTATTTCACCTCTTTCTGCCACTAGTGGGTTTGCCTTCGCTGCCACTATCTCCGCCGCCACCCGTCCTTTCCGCCTGGTTCCTGCTTTTGGCGCCTGAATCTGCTCGAAGTGGCTGTGGCAGCTGAAAAGGCGGGAGCGGGGAAAGCAGAAGCGGGGAAGCCGGAAGGGTGGAGAAGGGCGAAGGGGTGTGAAGGCGGAAGCGGGGAAGGCCGACGGGGCGAAAGCGGAAGCGGGGAAGGGCGACGGGGCGAAGGCGGAAGCGGGGAAGACGCGGAGGTCGAGGAGGACTCAAGTGGCGGAGAAGGAGAAATAGCAGCCCGAGCGGTGACGCGGCACCCCGCCGGTGGTGAATGCGGTGACGGCGGTGGCGGCGGTGATGACGGCGGTGACGCTGGAGGCACTAACTCGAAAAAGAGGAAAGAAGAAAGCTGTAATCGTTGAAGAAGATAATGCGCGACGACGGTAACGGAGACGCCGCCGACAGGCGAGGTGCCAACGGGCTACAGCGACGCCGAGGAAGGGGAGGAGGGACGGGAGGTGGACGAGGAACGGGAGGAAGAGGCGACGACTGAGTCGGCGCGTGAGGCGGCTGTGAGAGAGGGAGAAAGAAGTGGGCAAAGCGGACGCGGCGGAGAAAGAATTTCACCTCTTTCTGCGCGTGAGGGTGCGCGGCAACGTCCCTACGTCCTTTCTTCGGAAGCTTCGACTCGCCACATGTCCGTGCAGCAGGAGATGAGTGAAATCCCGCCCCTCTTGAGATGCACAGACATGTCCATCTGTGTGAGGGATATTTGAGAATGTCCGCGGAAAAAGGACCAGGCGAGTGTTGAGCCCGCAAATCAGATCGAGAGATTGGAAGGATTGTGCTACTGGTCCTGACTTTGGCAGCAATTTTAGTCTAAAAAACCATTTTAATTGACCCTGTTTGTGCATGCTAAGGGCAGGCCCAGCGTGTTCGTTTTTCCCAATTGTTTAGTTCATCCGTCGTGGTGCAAAACGATTCAACAGCTTTACAGCGATTTTCACGGTTAACCGTTCTAAACCATGACAAAACTAGAGTAACATCTCAGAATGAACTGTAAATGACCGCGCCGACGATGAACCCATCGTTTCAACTACCTAGTTCAATTTGACTGACGCAGACAGATCACCCTCTGCTGCCATGGACACCCATCTCCTTGAGCAGCGTGCATGGGGGCGAGGGAGAGATTTCGGGACAAGGGCTCGGCGGAGAGCATGAGGGGCGATTGAAGCATGGGAACATGAAAGTACGAGGCGGGCGTGCAAATGCTGGCATATGGGCATGAGAGAGTGAGAGCAAGCATACAAACACCACTTGCAGGGTGGCATGGAAACTATAATGCGGGCGGTAAAACGGTGAAGAGGGAAAAGGGGAAACAGAGGGTGTGGTGCAGAACTGTGCAGGGATGGGAGGAGACAAGAGAGGCGGAAAAGTGGAGAGGGGCAAAGAGGGGCGGGAGGAGTGAGGCAGAGAGGGTCGTGATGTCATGTAGGATGCAGAGAGGGTCGTGATGTCATGTAGGATGCAGAGAGGGTCGTGATGTCATGTAGGATGCAGAGAGGGTCGTGATGTCATGTAGGATGCAGAGAGGGTCGTGATGTCATGTAGGATGCAGAGAGGGTCGTGATGTCATGTAGGATGCAGAGAGGGTCGTGATGTCATGTAGGATGCAGAGAGGGTCGTGATGTCATGTAGGATGCAGAGAGGGTCGTGATGTCATGTAGGATGCAGAGAGGGTCGTGATGTCATGTAGGATGCAGAGAGGGTCGTGATGTCATGTAGGATGCAGAGAGGGTCGTGATGTCATGTAGGATGCAGAGAGGGTCGTGATGTCATGTAGGATGCAGAGAGGGTCGTGATGTCATGTAGGATGCAGAGAGGGTCGTGATGTCATGTAGGATGCAGAGAGGGTCGTGATGTCATGTAGGATGCAGAGAGGGTCGTGATGTCATGTAGGATGCAGAGAGGGTCGTGATGTCATGTAGGATGCAGAGAGGGTCGTGATGTCATGTAGGATGCAGAGAGGGTCGTGATGTCATGTAGGATGCAGAGAGGGTCGTGATGTCATGTAGGATGCAGAGAGGGTCGTGATGTCATGTAGGATGCAGGAAGGGAAATGAGGGAAGGGCATAGGTAGGAGGGACAAGTGAGGTGGGGAAGGGCGGGGAGGGAGGGAAAGAGAGAGGCAGGGAGAAGGGCGGGTTCACGGGCAGAGGGGAATGTAGGCAGGGAGGGAGAGGAGGAGAGAGGTGGGGAGGGAATTGTGGTGAAATGGCACTGAGAGAGGGGGGAAGGAAGGAAGAAAAGAGGCGGGGAGGGAAGGGAGGTGAGAGGCAAAGGGGGGGACAAGGGGGGGCACGAAGGTAGGAGAAAGGTGGGGGAAGAAGGGTGAGTTCATGGGCGGAGAGAGATATAGGAAAGAAGGCTGGAGAGGAAGGAAGGAGAGACACGGGCAGGGAATTGCGTTGGAAAGGGCAGAGAAGGGGATAGGCGGAGACGGAAGGAAGGAGAGAGGACTGGGGGGAAGGGCAAGTTCTTGGGCAGAGGGGGAGATAGGCGGGGAGAGATGGCAAGGGGATTGGCGGAAAGACAAGGTTGAAACGGACAGAAGGGCATGGGGGAAACGGAGAGAAAGGCAATGGGTTAAGTGGGGGAAAATGTGCAAGGGGGAACGAAGGGAAGGACAAGAATGAAATGGAGGGGAATGGGCTAGGGGGTCGGAACGAAGCACACGTGGGGATCAGGGGGAAGGGCAAGGGAATACTGAAACGATGGCAATGGGGAGCAGAGGGAAATGCGGGGGAAGATGGAAGGAAGGACGAATGGTTTATGGGAGAAAGGGTAAAGGGAAAACGGAGAGATGGACAAATGGGGAACGGAGGAAGGGCAAGGGAGGGATGGGAGAGGCGGAAAAGGAATGGACGGGAGTATGAAAGCGGGGCCAGGAGGGGGGCTAAGGGAGGGTCAGGAGAGCAGGGAGAAAGGGACGGGAGAATGGAAAAATAGGAGGGACGGAAGGGATGGAACGGACGGACGAAAAATGGGGAAGACGCACATATGAAAAAAGGGGAGGAGTTTATCGAGAAAGGGGAATCGTCAGACGTAGAGAGCTGAGCTGCGGAGGCCTTACTTGACATGAATTAAACTGGGGACGACGGAGCAGTGCAGGGGGTGGGGAAGAAGAGAGTTGGGTGGGAGGGGGGAGCAGTGCAGGGTGAAGAGGGGAAGCAGCGAGTAGGAAAAGGGGAGCAGCGCAGGGGGGGAGCGGGGAAGCAGCGAGTAGGAAAAGGGGAGCAGCGCAAGGGGGGAGCGGGGAAGGAGCGAGTAGGAAAAGGGGAGCAGTGCAGGGGGGGAGCGGGGAAGCAGCAAGTAGGAAAAGGGGAGCAGTGCAGAGGGGGAGCGGGGAAGCACCGAGTAGGAAAAGGGGAGCAGCGCAGAGGGGGAGCGGGGAAGCACCGAGTAGGAAAAGGGGAGCAGCGCAGGGGGGGAGCGGGGAGCAGCGAGTAGGAAATGGGGAGCAGCGCAGAGGGGGAGCGGGGAGCAGCGAGTAGGAAAAGGCGAGTAGCGCAGAGGGGGAGCGGGGAGCAGCGAGTAGGAAAAGGGGAGCAGCGCAGAGGGGGAGCGGGGAGCAGCGAGTAGGAAAGGGGAGCAGCGCAGAGGGGGAGCGGGGAAGCAGCGAATAGGAAAAGGGGAGCAGCGCAGGGGGGGAGCGGGGAGCAGCGAGTAGGAAAAGGGGAGCAGCGCAGAGGGGGGGCGGGGAGCAGCGAGTAGGAAAAGGGGAGCAGCGCAGAGGGGGAGAGGGGAAGCAGTGAGTAGGAAAAGGGGAGCAGCGCAGGGGGGAGAGGGGAGCAGCGAGTTGGGAAGGAGGAGCAGCGTAGGGGTGAGTGAAGAAGCAGAGAGTAGGGAAGGGGGAGCAGTGCGTGGGGGAGTGGGGAAGCAGCAAGATGAGAGAGCAATGAATATTCAGCATGGAACTCTACAATGGAACAATGGAACTCTATACACACGCATTCATACTCCTAGCCAAAATCATATCCTCGTCCATAATCCCATTCTGCATCGTCGTATTCTGCATCGTCACATTCCGCACCATCACATTCTGCATCATCATCACATGCACAAGCAGCAGCACTACCACTCTCGTCCTCGCCACCAGCAACAGCAAGTTGCCGCTCTCCAAAGAAGCCATCCCACGGCAAAACATGCTCTGCGGTCCTTCGACCAGTCACCACCAGCCGTGGCAGCAGCATCCCAACCTCCTTTGCAGCACGCCTCAACTCCACACCATCAAAACAACTCCCACCACTTCCTTCACTTCCTTCACCTTCACCCATCCCCATGTCACCCTCTCTTCCACCTTCCTTGCTTCCCCTCCACCGATCCCCACCTCAGAAAAACTCTCCACCTCTGTCGGAGTGCAGACGCAGAAAAGGAAGGTCCAAGCCGAAACTCTCGCTGAGTTGGCAATGGGCTGCGCGGATCCAATCGATCAGCACCTTAGTGACCTCACCCTTGTAGCGCTAGGGGAAGACTGTGGTGTAATGCGAGTAGTCGTCAACGACCAGCAGAAAGTAGCGCTCGTGACCCTGTCCACCGACGCGGGCTGGGCCCCACACGTCCATGTGAAGAGTCTGCAGGGGAGCCTCTGTCGGACGGAACTCGGAGGAGTGAGGAGCGGCGCGCTGCCGCCCCTGGACGCAAGGTACGCGGGTAGGGGCAGGCCCCAGGGGAAGGGGAGGGAGAGACCGGGGAAGACCAGTGACAAGGATACGGGAGGCCATGCCTCGGAGACGAGGCAGGGAGGGGTGACCAAGGCGGTGGTGCCAGAGGAGAGTCTGGTGAGACAGGAGGCGACACGAGCAGGGGGCAGACTCAGGACCAGACCAGGACACTGCAGCAAACACCTGACCCGATGAAGTGACCTGACCAGACTCAGCAACGGGAGGAGACACAGTAGTCAGTGTGTAAAGGCTTGACCCAGGCTGCCGGGTGAACATGGCCAGGTGTCGGCCCGTCCGTGTGCACGTATAGTGGGTGACCCGCTGACCTCTAGGAGTGAATTGGTCAACCCACACGTCCTGAAGGTCAGATTCACTCACCAAGTTCGTAGAGAACAAGGGGAGGTGAAGAACCGACAGTGAGCCAGACGGGACCGCCGGACATGGCAGAACCGTAGAGGATTGTGCAATGACTGGACCCCCAGAGGGGTCAGCCAGGGAGACTGCAACCGGCTGACTGAGCGGCGTGAGTGTGGTGCAGTCGCGAAAGAAGGAGCGGGAAGCTCCTGAGTCAAGCGTGAAGGTTTGCAAGGCTGCAGCAGGCGCAGTACCATAGAGAGTAGACTCACCAGCACCTGGAGCAGTAGACTCACTAGCGCCTAGAGCAGCAGCCTCACCGGCACCTGGAGCAGGAGACGCACGAGCACCTAGAGCAGCAGCCTCACCAGCACCTATAGCAGCAGACTCTATACTTGGGTCAGGCGGCACACACAGGTAACAGGCACCCTCAGCCCTAGTAGGCAATGCATACATGGCAGTGAGGATAGCATCATAGTCAAGAGCAAAGATATTTACCCTCTGCCTAAGTAGCTCTAGCCAGAGGGGAGCTCAGCGTCATCGCCAAACTCTATGCGCCAGGCGTTACTCAGACAAGAGAAGCAGCATGACGCTGTGTGACCAACCATCCCGCAAGGCTGACCAGCCTGAGCACCTGTGCGAATGACGTACGGGCAGCGAGCAGTACTCCGTGACCCTCTACTCTGAGCGTACCACTCACGAAGCTGATGGGGCGAAAGGATCTCGCGCGGACGCCGCTGCAGCTGCACCTGGCCACTACAAGAAGCTCCCGAACGACCCGCTCCAGGGCGACTCCCACCACGGCCACCCCTACAACCCCAACTAGCGTACCACTCACGAAGCTGCTGGGGCGTGAGGGACTCACGCAGACGTCGCTGGAGTTGCACCTGGCCACTACAAGAAGCTCTCGAAACGACCCGCTCCAAGGTGACTCCCACCACGGCCACCCCTACAAACCCAACTAGCGTACAACTCACAAAGCTGCTCGGGCGTGAGGGACTCATGCGGACGTCGCTGGAGCTGCATCTGGCCACCGCCAGTAGCAGCAGGAGTGGCAGTGCAGCAGTAGTAGCAGTGACAGCTGGAACAGCAGTAGCAGCAGGGCAGAGCAGCGCGGCTCCGTAGGGCAGCGCGGCTCCGTAGGGCAGGGCGGCGCGGCTTGGTTGGCAAGCAGGCGCGGCACGCGCGGTAGCATGCTGGTAAGGTAGGCGCGCGGGCAGTGCGGGTAGGGCAGGTGCTCACCAGAGGCGGGTAGGGCAGATGCCACCGGCGACGGTGGGCATGCGCTCAACGGGCACGGGTAGGGCAGGTCCGGCGCGCGACGGGTGGATGCAGGCGCTCGACGGGTGGCTGCAGCGGGGCCGCCAAGGCGGCTACGGCGGGGCAGGTCCGTGACAGTTTCTACGGCGGGGCCGCGACGGCGGCTGCAGACGCGACGCCGGCAGGGCAGGGCAGGGGCGGCCGCCCCAAGGGCGGGCGCGGGGCGGGGCAGGGCGTGGGCGGGCCGCAGATGAGGCAGGGCACGGCGGCCAAGGGGGGGGGGGGGGGAGGGGGGGGTTCGAGCAGGGACGGCGCTCAGGGGGTGCGGCGACGAGCAGGGGTGATGCCGTGCAATTCCCGCAGGGGCGTCGCGACGAGCAGGAGCGGCGTCGCGTGGGTCCCGCAGGAGCGTTGCGACGAGCAGGCTCGGCGCCGCGCGGGTCCCGCAAGGGCGTCGCGACGAGCAGGGGCGACGCCCGAGTCCCGCAGGGGCGTCGCGACGAGCAGGAGCGGCGCCACACGGGTCCCGCAGGGGCGTCGCGACGAGCAGGGGCGACGCCCGGGTCCCGCAGGGGCGTCGCGGGGTCCAGGGGCGGCGTCGCGGGGTCCAAGGGCGGCGTCGCAGGGTCCAGGGGCAGCGCCGCGGAGTCCAAGGGCGGCTTCGCGGGTGCAGGGCACGCCCGCACGCGGCCTGTAGGGCAGGGCGACGGGCAGGCGCTCGAGGGCGCAGGTAGGGCAGACGCTCGAGGGCGCGGATAGGGCAGGCGCTCTAGGGCGCGGGTAGGGCAGGCGCTCGAGGGCGCGGGTAGGACAGGCGCTCTAGGGCGTGGGTAGGGCAGGCGCTCGAAGGCGCAGGCAGGGCAGGCGCTCAAGGGCGCGGGTAGGCAGGCGCAAGACGCATAACGGGGCAGGCAGGCACGGCAGTGCGCTTTGGGCAGGGCAGAAAAAAAAAAGTTCGTGGTGGGCCCCAATGGGCGGAACTTCTTAGTGGGTTCACTTTTGATATTCGATATCGAGCAGGTTTGACAAACCTGGCTGACCCCCTCAGCAGACAGCCAATAGGGGCGGCAACAAGGCTAGACGACACGGAAGATGCGGTAGTATTTTCTGCTTGCTTCAGTGTCCTAGCAGTGGCTCGAGTGAGTGAGAATACATTTAGTTGTTTTTTGAAACGCATCCGCACTGGTACCAAATCAACTCCTGGTTGCATAACCCACAGAATATGAAGGGACTCAAATGGGAGCATGAGCTCTGGTGGCGTGAAAAAGAGGTTGTTGTACCTCACATGGGTAACATGCGGAACAATATTCTGAAACAAATGCATGCCACTAAGTACGGAGGACACTTAGGGGTCAAGGAGACCAGGTGGGCCTTGAGTGTGTGTATTGGTGGCCGGGATTGCGCATTGAGGTCCAGCAATTCGTGGCGAGAATGCGACGCATGCACACGAAATAAAACGGGCACACAGAAGCCCGGTGGTTTGCTTCGACCACTTTAAATCCCGAATGAACCTTGAGAGAGCGTATCCTTCGATTTTATTACGGAGACTCTCAATGGCCATATAGCAATCCTAGTATTTATTTATCGTCTGACAAAAATTTTGCATTCCGTGGTTACGACAACTGACTTATCTGCAGAGGATATGGCCAAATTGTTTGTGGCGCACGTTTTCAGCTTACACATGTTACCATGTGTATTGGAGTCGGACCGGGATCCGCGCTTCACGAGCCGGTTTGGCAAGAGGTTACACAGACACTGGAAACGAAGCTTAAGTTATCACCAGCGTTCCATCCACAAATGGATGGGCAGACGGAACGAACAAACCAGACACTTGAGCAGATGCTTTGCTTATTCATTGGCCCAACTGAGGATGATTGAGACGAGTTCTTGCCTGTCGTTGAATCCGCATTGAACAATTCAGTGCCATAATATATTTGTGTAACTGCCTGTAGCTGTAGTTTAGTGTAGGAATCATAAACTATTGGTGGTGCACCATTCTTGTTTCTTGCCTATTTGTATTGCTCGCTCCATAGTGAAGCCCTCTCCTTCTTGCAACAACTCTCTCGACTATCCTTGGCCTAGGCTACTAAGCCTAGGCCCTACTCCTACGATTTCAACATGGTATTCAGAGCAGGCACCTCCCTGCTGCCTTCCTTAACGGGCCCACCAGTCTGCTTCCGCTGCCTCTCGTCCTGTTGCGCGCCTCGAGCGCACGGCGAGTGCGCCCCGGGCACGCGGCAGCTTTCTGCCCCACGTCCGCACGCGGGCTTTCTGCCCGTTGCCCTACCCTGTAGGCCGCGTGCGGGCCTATTCTACCTGTCAAGCTGCCCTGCGGGCCGCGTGCGGGCCTGCCCTGCACCCGCGACGCCGCCCCTGGACCCTGCTGGGTGTGGGGGTGTGAGGGTGTGAGGGTGTGGGGGAGCTGGGGGAGAGGTGCTAGGGTTGTCGAGGAGTGTGGAGGGGGGATTTGGAGGACTGGGGGAGGTTCCAGGAAGCAACCGCCTCGGAGCTGTTAGAGACTAAGGACGGAGTCTAGAAGCTTAGGAGCCGAAATTACCACAAAATCGTTGGCTTAGAATTCTGGACAGAGACGTCGACTTCACAAGAAACGTTGTCGACGGAAATTGCACGGTTA